AAGTTTATTTCTGTGAGAGGGCTCCGCATTTTCCTCTCAAACATCACCCAGCTTATCCGATCTCTAAGGAACGTTCTTTGAAGTAAACCAGAAGCGAACCAGCAATTCCAGCACCGAAAAAAGGACACGCTCTTTATTGCTACATCAAGATGCTTTTTGCCGAGTACTTCCCGAGGGAGGTTTGGGGACGGAAACGTCCCATTTAGTCGAGTTCGCAAGGCAATTCAAAGCGGAAACCCTCACAATCTATGGTGACGCACGGTATGTGTGAACAAAAAACATCTGGGAGCCCCCTGCAACAAAAAACACACACACCCCAAAAAAAAAAGGAAACACCAACAAAAAAAACACGTCTCAACTCCTTCAGCGAGTCGCCAGGCACAGGACCATCAGCGCGTAGAAGACGAGGGTGGCCACCGGCAGGCACGGCAGCCAGGGGAGGCAAAACAGCGGGTTGCTGGGCTTCTCAGGCCTCGGTTCCGGGCGGATTTTTTTTGGCGCCGCCCAGGCGCCTCGTTCCGGAGGAGGAAAAACGGAAAAATCCGGGGAGCAAAAGAACGCGGGAGTGTGGTTGTAAGGTGAAAAGACATGCAATACACAGAAGGCTGGGAAGTTCTAAAGCAGGAGCTTTGAGATGCTGTGTGGTTTCTATTAGTGTCCCTCTAAAACCCCGCAACACATGTATCCTGAAACAGGTGGGGCTTTCCTAACCCAACGGACGTGGGGAGGTAACCCAACTGAATCAAAAGGGGCCCCATGCTCTTTCTCAGGCCCACAAATCCAAGTAATCAGTGATACCTAGATGCCAAGCTCGCAGTTCTTGCCCACCTGCCAGGAGAGGCCTTCTTTGCCCCCATCCAAATGTTTTTGCTTTTTTTTCCCAGAGATTGCTTGGAACTCCAAGGGCCTGCATCCAGTCATAGCACCAAATCCATGCATGGAACTCCAAGCGTTTGGGCGGTTTCGACCATGGTGGGCTTTTTGGCGAAGCCCAAGTCCGTCAACCTGCTGGTGGGCTGTGCGGGGTGAGTCCCAAAGACTTTGCTCAAATTAACCCAATCCCTAAAGGAGATTCCGATCCTGAAATGGGCGGGTTTTCAGGTTCCATGGCGATCCTCTTTTGGGAACCCATGTGTCCCTCTTAGTTTAGATCGTTTCTAAAATTGGCACCTTCGCCTGTGGGCAAACCCGTGGCAATAGGAAACCGATTCTTCAAATGCCATGTTGCGTGGGGGATCCAAACAAAAGCAACTTTTGAGATGGCCCGAAATCAAAAAAAAGGGAGACAGTGTTAGCTGCTTTCAAATGACAAAAAAAACAACACAAAAACCAAAGATTGCCCCTTGAAGCAATCGGAACCCCTCAAAAGGAGAGAGCTCGCTCAGTCCGGGTCTCCTCTGAGCATGTCTCCTCGTGGTGGATTGAAGCGGGGGTTTTCACCGATTACCCTCTACTCCAAAGAAAGCCAATCCGAACGACACCATAGCCTCATTTGCAGAGGGAACTCTTTTTGGGGAACCCCCTTTTGGTGGTTCCAGGATGTTCCAGGTTTGTTTCAGGGAAACTAAGGCTTACTTAGGCATTTCTTGTGATTTTCGAGGACCCGCGGACATCAATCAGGCACCAACCACTCGTGAGGCGGTTCCCCACTAAATTAATCTGTCACCCTCCCTCTAATTCGGCGGATTGGTTTGGCGGTTTGCTTGGACATTCGGGGGTGTCTTTTTCATTTGGCTTTAAATCCACCAACCACCAATCCAATCCACCAACTAAGGGTCACCTGATGTTCAGCGGTTCCCCAGTAAAACTCACAGCTTTGCTCGGACCATCCATCCCTTTCCCCGCCCAAAACGCCGCCGAGCCGGCGGCTGCATGACCGGATGGGTCTTAGGGCCGCTAGTAGTGAGCAGCTGGACGTGCTCCCCTTGCCTCGGGATTCAAAGCGATGGGAAAAAAGAACCTGGACCCTGCCCCCCAAAAATATTAAGGGAAAAACACACACACCACAAGCTTGAGCAATTTCATTTGTGGGGAGCCCGTACCTTCCACTCACTTCAGTTTAAGGTTCAGCTCGGGAATTGAGCAAACCCTCACAGTCGAGGGTTTAGCAACGAATCGGACAAAGCACAATGCTGCACCATGCGGGTTTTGTGTTTGACGCGCGCGGGGAAGGGTCAAGGCTCCAGCTTAGCACATCGACGTTCCTAGGTTTGTCTCGAGGAGGACTCCCCTCTTTTGGGATCAACTCAAGAAAAAAACACCACCAACGGTATACAGTCTCTAATAGAGACCTCCCGACACGCATTCCACAATTCCACTAGGCCCAAGTCCGTTTGCCAAACAATTCCCATGAACAATAAACATGACTAGCAAATCGCCCTGTTCCAATTTGTTCACCAAAGGGGAACGGAGCGGCGTGGATGCAACCCAGTGAACCACTATTGAACAAAACACTGGGGCATCCGGATGCTGACTTCAAACAGACCAACAAGGTCATGACAAATCCTTTCTAGCCTGTCAACACCCGCGCTATAGTGTTAACATTCTGAGCATTGCTTTCAACATCCTTTGGGGACAAAGCCACGCGCAGCCCCGTGCAATATATGTCTGCTCATCCTTTGCACTCCACTTGTGCTGGTCCTGGGGCGTGTCCAGAGTTTGGTTCTACGTGTTCCGTGCAACAAAATCAACTCTCGCATATCGATTCGTTGTTGGGGGCGCCGCAAACCAAATATCCGCAGTGTTGTACGCAAAGTTCCTTGCAGCGGAACTATTGGGCGCTTTTAACCAGCAAGCGGCTGGGCTGACGGCGCGGGTGCAGGTGATGCTTGTGATGGATGATGCTGGTGCTGGCATTCGAATGCTGGGGATGCAGATAGAACTTCAGGGCAGGTGCGCGGATGCGACCCACTGCCCAGCTGGTGTGGGGCTAAGTTCCCATTAGCACCCAAGTAATCCATTCTCCCCCCTAATTCCAAAATCGACTATCACTTTTAGAATAGCCAATACTAAACCAAGTTTAAAGTAGTTATTTCCCTTCCCGTGCCCAAATCTAGCCCTAATAGGGGACCTTTTGTGCACAAGGAATAACAGACTTAATTAACTATTTGTCTCCCAGGGTTTTCCGAAAACGAACCGGGGACCCCGCAATGCTAAAACCGGTTTTTCCCGCGGGACCCAAGGGGGAACGGATTAGCGAACATCTGGCGACCTCTTTTTGCACGCAGGCTTCGCCCACAAGCGAGGAAGACACAATCCCCATTCGAACTCAGAGTACCTGCTTGCACCCATTTGTAGTGGAGGTGTGTCAACATTTACCTTCAGGAGGTTGGCAAACGTGTAGGATTTGGCAAAGCTGGGCATGCAAACGGTTGGGGATTGGCAAAACCCAAGCAGGCTTAAGAAGTCACCTGTGGGAGGCTTGCACCTGGAAGCTCAGTTTCCTGGAGGGACCTGCTGCCCAGTTGCTCCACTTGCGCCTCCTTCATGGCCATGGCAACGAGTTCCAGCTCGTGAGCGGTGCGGTGCGGCGGTGCGCCCCTCGCGCTTCTTCCGCGCGCTCAGCGCACGGCGCAGAGCTACCCTGCAAACCGAAGGCGCCCTGAGCCGAAATGCTGGGCGTGGGACGCCTGCGGCGGGGCGTGAGATGGAGCTGACAAGCATCAAAAGTCTTGAATTGCAGGTTAGCAGAAAAAACATGTATTTTGGTCGGATCCCAAATTTAATGCAAAGGAGCAACAAATATGAAACATGCGGGTTTGGCTCCAAATGTGGGAATGCATCCAATGTATCCTTTTGGCCTTTTGGCCCTTTTGGCTTCCCTTTAAACAAAGCCTGCGTTCTTGGCAGATCCGGGAAAAAAGGGGGGGTTGAGGTTGAGGGCGCTTCATGGACCCACAATCTGCCACACAGGGGAACGAAACCAAGAGGGCCCTCTCCAATTATAGCTTGCTTTCTTTTTTTGTGGGCGGGGACATGATTTCTTAGGCAATTCTGCAGCCAGGAACCCTATAATCAGTAACCAACACCAATGAAAATAGTTCAGTTGCAAAATGGGAGCTAGTGTCCACCATGCGGGGGGATGGGATCGTGGCAAGACCGAGGCAGGTTCGCGCGCGGGGCCCGCGCGCCAAAGCCGACTTTTGAAGCAATGCAGTTGGCCAACGCGGCGACAGGGTTCCAACGATACCAGCATCACCCATCAGGAAATTCGCGCTGCCTGCCTTTCCCCAAAGGTGATGGTTCAAACTACCAAACCAAATACTTGAATCTCCTTCAGGCGCTTAACAATACATTTACATTCACACGCAGCCGGCATGCTGACCCCATTTTCATCAACCCGCTGGAATTTGATCAGGGGTTCCCCTTCATCAAAAACAGCGGGCGCTCCTTTGTCTCCCGGCTTCCCCGTAGACATTGTAACCGACCAGAGGCAACACTTCTTGTTAAACATTCGTTTCTATTTATGTACATGTGGTTTGTTGCTTGCGCCCTCTCCAGCCTAGCCAAGGGTCATTTCTGGACAGTGAACCATTTAGAACAAGCCACCAATGCCATTGAAACCTAGAGATACCACGTTCAGCTTCCCTGCTTGATCTGAATTCAGGGCTGCATGAGATGAAGTTTCTTTATGAGCCCCTGGGACCTCTAGGATATTAGGATATATTAGGTTTGGAGGTATCATACCAATCTGACACATGGCGAAACACACGAAGACCACGACGTTCTCGCTCGCTGGAACCCAGGTGATCGAACCAAAGGGTCCGAGGGCTTCCACTGAAAGCAAGTCAAGCGGTGCCTCATGGTCTCCCTTTAAACCTACCCAGATCCTTGATTGTGAAGTTGAGATGCAAAAGGCATAGGTCAATCTCCACTTGCGAACAGCGGGAGGGCTCGGGACCTCAATTGAGCCCTTGAAGTCTTCGCCGAAACCCTGCAAGCGCGTGCTGGGTTTGCCACTCGCTCCCTTGGCCATTTCGGGAAAAATAACATAGTGGGGG